CATCCATAGGATAAAAAAAGGTAAGATACAGTCCCTCCTCCTCCCACGTATTATATGTGGCTATAATTAATTATAATTGTGGTCGTAAATGATTACACAATACATATTACCACATGTGTATCTTTTAAATATTGACCTTATATTTGTTATCAACAAGAAAGGTACACATAATAATTCAACACACTCAATCAATAATCCATCTTTCCTAGTTTGGTCCGGAGATTTGGCTTTGCAATGTAAAGTGTAATAATTAGAATGACTTTAATTCTACCATATCTTAACTTGCATGCCATGTGAAAATTATTGGCGAATAAAAAATAACGCTGCCAATTAGCAACATTTAACGCTCCATGTTAATTATGACTAAATACTGAATGAGCTTAGTCATATCCTCAGACTTCTATTGATATATTATCATTATACAAGATACACCAATTAATTATGAGATTTGTTTGCAAAATACTGAAATGATTAATACGATTTAGGTTTTAGATAATGTCGACAATGATATTTTTTTTTGTGGGTATGGGGGTAACCAGCTTAATTAAGAATTTATTGAATAAATGTCCTTTAAGTAAATATTAATTTATATAAATATTTTTTATAATTAAGGAGGAAATAGGGTTGAATTGTTTTACGAGTTATATGTTAATAAAAATATATTATAAATTATTCTCACGAATTTCTCAAATAATTTTTTTTTACAAGCACTTATGTCATGAAATAAGAGTAACGTCCTGTTTGGAAAAACAGTTTAATGAATAATTTATATTATAATACAATATTATTTATATTTATTAATAATTTATTTTTAAAATAATAAATTTAATTCATAAATAATTAAGATAAATAAAAATTAAATTAGATTAATTAAAAAAAGTTATAAAAACCTAAAAGTCTTTAAAAACGCTCTCACATAAAATATAAATTCATGTTTAATATAGAGACCACAACTAAAATTTATAATAAATCATATATATTATATTTAAATATATAAATTATATCTAAAATTAATATATATAAATATTTTAAATATAAATAATATTTTAAATTTATAATAAATAATTTTTATTATAATTTTTTATTTATTAATAATTTATTTTAAAATAATAATATTTAATTCATAAATAATTTTGATAAATAAAAATAAAATTAGATTAAAAAAATCCTACAAATTCTCTTATTAAAAAAATCCCTAAAAACATCGTATAGACATTCGTGTTTAATATATAGGAGTTGATATTATAAATATTTAAAATTGAAGATTATTTAATTTGAATATATATATATATTAGTACATACTATATACACAAAACCAAGCATTGTTATTATATGAACATTTATAAGATTTTGTTTCATTTTAAAAATAAAATAAAAATCAAATATGATTAAAAATAAATCAAAATTTAAAAACAGTTAAATAATTAATATAAAAGACAGTAATACTTTTGTAAAGATAACTTTCTTTACTAGAGATAATGTAGCACGACAATAATATTTTTAAAATATTATATTAGAAAAATTAAAATGTCACTTGTTTTATAATTTATTTGTCTTTAAACAAGACATTTATTACAAGATAGAAGAAATATATTTATAGTCAAATTCTTTATATTTATTCATTATTTTATATCTTCTAAATTTTTTTATTTACGAGAATCAAATTTGATATTAAGGAGATTTAGAACATTCATGTACTATGTTCAACCAATCGAACTAGACTTTCCTTGCTATATGCTTTGAATTTAAAAATGACTCATGCTATTTGATAATAATTTGAAAAGGGAATGCAGAAATTTAAACAACAGCTATAAAAAGAAAGGAAATGGCACTTGTCATTAATAATGTTTCGTTTTCAGGCCCCAAATTTTCATTTATGGCTAATGTACGTATCTAATGTCACTATTTATTCAAGATTTGTTCGCATTAATAATATGATAACCTAAAAAATAATCAGTTATTTTTAATTTCAGTTCTTTCTTTACTTGAATATTTTGGATTTCAGTTGACCTCTTACTAAAGAGATATTTCATTTCAATTAGGCTCTACACTCCACTTGAGCATCCAACGATAATATGTATTCCACCAAATTCAAGCATTGGAAGTTTAATTAGAAAATGGAAAGAACTAGAGTTGAATAGGCTGAAAAATCTAATCTCATATTGGCTTGGGATGCCAAAATGAAGAGAAATAGTACAACATTGATTAAGGCACAGAAGGGAGGTATGATGAAGTCGTGGGGTATCTACATTTTCCAATCTGTTATGAAACAAACATTCAAACAAAAACTCAAAACTTGGTCGGGGGGCCCTTAGACCCAATTATTAGAGTGCCACAAGGAGATGTCTCAAACATTTTAAGACTCCATATATCATTAGATCACCACCTCTTGGTGTCTTTGGAATTTGGTTCGACCAATGCTCAATTCCAATTTTCGCACTATTTAAAGATCCACTATGGCTAATGTATGCACTTAGGAACAAATCTCCTTGGATTAAGAGACCAACTTATAAGTCTTTTCGTATTTAGGTGCTTGAATTTATAAGGTTCTATACACGTTCAGGATCAAATAAAATAGGATCAAAATTTATTACATCAATATTAATTTACAAGTCTCTTCACATTTATGTATTCAACTATTGAGAATTATATATATTGCAAGGACTAAATCCAATTGAATCAAAATTGATCATGTTAAATCAAATTATAAGTCTTTTTGCACTTATATGCTCAAATTTCAAGGATTGTATACTTTTTTGAGTTTTTGACCAATCTTCTCCAAATTACTTCTTTAAGATAATCACTTTCAAGCAAAATTTCTTAAATCAATCATCTCCAAGTTGGTTTTAACGGAATGAAAGTCCAATGAATTAGTTTTGATAGATAAGTGGTTAGTTTATGAAAAAGATCATTATGGGATTTTTAAAAGTTATATAAGAAATCTATTATGATAAACAAATGAAACCGTTAAGATTGAAATATTTTTTAAAACTTTTCTATTGAAAATAAATAATTTTTCCAATACAAAAGCTCTAAAAAAATGTTTCTAAACTTGTATCCAAATATGTTTTATATGCATATAAAAATAAGTTATAGAATTAGAATACATCAATTTTACTTTTAAATGTTTTTGACTTTTATATTCTTCTTCCATAATAAAACAAGTAACTTTAGATAATGCTTACAAAGTGTTATATTCAGCGGTAGGGGTTGATCCACGCTTAAGCAAGGTCAGGAGTTCGAATCCTGTTTTGTGTATGCAGCCGCATTAAATCTTGGGGTCAGCTATCCCACCCTTTGAGGTAAATCCAATGTAGCGAGGAGATTAATCACTGCTATTGACGGTGGATACTTCAGGGACGAACAAAAAAAAAAAAAAACCTCAAATAACACTTACTTAAGAAATCGTTGTGTAAATCATATAATACTTTTTAAAATAAGTGTTATTTGATTTAGTTAGTCAAATAACATTGGTTGAAATCATCCTAACATAAAATTTTGTTGTTGAATTCAACGTAAGTGTTTGAATCCTTTAATTTTAATACATTTTTTTTATAAAAAAAAATCTTGTCCTACAAATAATATATTGTCTAACATTTTTCAACTCATTCTAAAATTTTCTAATATTGATATAATTCTATATATAAAAATATCAAGCTTAGAAAATAATATATCTATATATCCCAACACATATCAACTAACTAGACATAGTTTCCCTAACTAAAAATAGAAAAGCAGAATCTAGCTTTAATGATGACCATTTATACGAATCCATTTTCTTATGGAATACGTCTCATTCTGTTTATTAAAGCACACGCACGGTAAAAGCCTTTCTCCTCTTTTTCAGTTTGCTATGTGGAGACTGGATTGTATCCGTCGCTTTTGGGAAAGAAAAGAAGCATCAGGTCAAATGACACACACATTCATATCATAAACTCAATGTTTTTAAATTACATATTTATACCAATATAAAACTATCAATTCACCCATTTGGTTTAGGGAGACCATAATCATTCTATTCTTGAACCTAGGGACATCAATACATTGTCTCTATTTGTGTCATTTTCCTACCCTTAATCATTAGAGATAAAGAGTTTATTGTCCAAAGAATTGGATTTAAATTAAATTAGAGAAATTGAGTTTGAATCACATAATAACAATGAATCTAGAAGGAAAAGTATTACCTTAGAAAAAATTCGAAGAGATTATAATATTTGGTCGCTTTAATGAATTGGATTTTATAAATTTGTTAACTAATTTCTTTGTTTTTGTTGTTAAATGAAAATATAAAATCCAAAATTTACAAATCCTTTTTTCTTCTTAAATCAAAGGGTAATTAATTTACTGCTAATCCTTGTGTACACAATACTCTTACTTTTTCACTATATTACTTAAAATATCAGTACGATGAATATTATATACATCATCCCTTACTAATAAGAACACTTATGCTCTTAACAATCTAACCCAAATTTGTTAAAAAAGATTTGAACGGGTTAACTGAAACCTTTTTTTTGTTAAACCCAATTTAATTATTTTGACTTTTATTTTCAATTATAAACAATCTATCTTGACATTATTTACTCCTATATTATAAATTAGAATACACATGAAGAGTAATATTCTCACTCTCTCAAACATTATTAATAAATTTTTTTTTGTTACAGTTTCTTAATATTATTTATTCTCTCCTTTATTTATGCATTTCACACATTATTCCTTCAGTTAACTAAAAAAAATCTTTAAACTATTTCAAATTATTCTCATCTTATCTTTACATTTCTTTTTCTTTCTGTCTATAAATTGAACTTCAATATTTTTTTATAAATATTGTTAATAGTTAAAATGATTTTATATCACAATTTGAATTATTCATTATAAATCTAACTTGATTTATATATTCAAATATATTTTACTTTTAATGAATTATAAGTATACTTTATTATATATTAAAAATATTTATTTTATAAATGTTAATTATATAAATAAAAAAATAAACATTTATCCTAAGTAGTATTCATTAAATATTCCTTATTTTGTGTACACTAATCTTAAAGATCAATAAACATGAAGAAAAAAGCAACTAACGTATTATTTGGAAGTATATGCAGCTTTAAAAAAACAAGCCTAGACTAATCGCAAATGTAGCATTAGCTATTTATCAGAGTAACGAATCAGCCTTAATTATAAGTTCTAAACTTCGTCGTATTTGATCACGCAGTCATACAAACGTGACCCAAGAAATTCTGCAACCTCGAGATGTTTTACCTATAAAAATAATAACAAAAAACAAGAAGGAAGAATAGAATCATCAGCATTCAAATTTTCATTTGTTAAGAAGACGCAAGTAAAAAAATGCATTACCATAGCAATCTTGAGGGAATCACATTTAAATTGAGCATAAAGATTTGTTTCTATTCCACGACCCTGTCAGAAGAAACAAGTCAGTGTTGATATTTACGAAGCACCAATATGTAACAAAGCTCAGTGGATAAGTGTAGAGGCCCCATTGGAGCAAGCATTGAAGAAAGTAAGAACAACCCAAAACTAGAGCTTACAACTTGCTCAACCCAAAACCGAAAGCATATATATATTTTTTCTTTTTGTGGTGCATATGATTGCAAAATAGTTTATAGTAGATAACTGAGTGTTACTTGGACCAATCACTTGTTGGTAACAAAAAAACATATAATGTGGAAGAATTGATTACCATCCCTTCTAAGACGACAAAATCTGCATCATTGGCAAGGTCTGCAAGTTCCTGTGATACCCCTTTAAGATCAATAACCTGGAATCCATTGAACAAAACAAGAAACAAACATGTAATGGAACCACCATACATACAAGTCAATGAACTGACAACATAGGCCTATAACTACATAGATAAAACTTTCCTAATGTAACACAAAAATACTTGTGATTTTCTTACAGGCAAATCATTTCCAGAGTTGGCAATTAAAAGATTTGAAGTACTGACACCCATGAGAGATCCATCTTCATCCTTTAACTGGCAATCAACATGTGAGTTAGGAAGGAACTTTGCCATACCATAAACTGCCGGACCTAATATTTTTGTTACCTTTGATATAATTTCGATTAGCTCAGAGTAGGTCACATCATTGATGGAAGGTAAGTCATTAGCAGCCAATATAACCTGCATTCAGATCACATAAAATATGTTGAAGCAGGTAGCCATAAGAGCTGCACATGAGAATTTTCAAAAAAAAAACCTCAAAATGGACAAATACTATTACGTCTAAAAGCAAAGCAGTCCTAAAATTGAATCATGTCATCCTCCAAGAAGAAGTTAAGTGGATCTAGTTAAAGCACTTGCTAAATTAACAAAACCTCTAGTTCCTCTATATTCAAAACGGGAAGCCCGGCCCGCCAAAAATGGGCCAGGCGGCCAATGGAAAATGGGTTGGAAACGTTGACCCGCCCCGCTTAAAGACGGGCTGGCGGGCTAGCCCGCATACCACAAAAAAAAAATGGAAAAAGATATATTTTATGTTCAAATAAAAAAAATGCTACAAATAAATAAATATAACTATATGAAATTAAAAATGCATACATATTGTACATAATATATGTTTAACAAAAGCAAATTACAAACTTAGAACAAAATCAAATAGAAATTAGTCCACTAATCAAAATCAAATTATAAACTTACAAATTACTAATAATTTAAATTTTTTTATATTCCACAAAACAAGTCCATTACTTATGCAAGCAACTGAAGTCCAATTACTTATGTGGGTTGGCGGGTTTGACAGGTTGGCGGGTTGAAATGATGGGCCTAGCCCGCCAAAAATTGGTGGGCTAACGGGCTGGCTTGCAAGTCACAGTCCATTTTGCCATCCCTATTCCTTATAATGCAAAATAAAGTCCAAGTATTTCAAATTTTCAATACATTTCTATTGTGCTCAATGATACAAAGGCTACAAAAAATGAAACTGACATAAGAAAGATGGACTACAAATGACAAAATTCAGTTATGGTATAGGTTTTAAACTGCCTGACCAAAAAACACAAATGAAAGAAGGAAAAAAAAAATGCCAGCAAACCTGACTCCCGCGTCGAAGGAGCTCCCTTGCAAATGGCAGAATACCCAAAATGATATCTGCACCAGAGTTATCAACAAATATGATTACCTGCCAATGTAAAATAATTGATTAGGACACTACCACTGTACAAAATAAGGAAGAAGACATAACATGCATCATAAAATTGTACATTTCTAGTCTTATGAAACTTGCCTTCTTCCAGGACTTCCTGCTCCAGTTTATTTTGAAAGTTTCAAGGTCATCAATAACCCAAGGTCGAGGGACGAGATTTTGACAAGTAGTTGAAAAAGACACTCCATCCCTAGAGAAAACCTCGACAAGCTTCAAGAAATTGAGGGAAGAAAAAGGTAACCCATCAATTACAGAGAGTTATATAATCCTCAAATCTCTGGCATGATTGTAATAAATATTAAAAAATGTCTTTGACAATTAGGCAAATAAATTTTGTATGAAGTTAGTTTTGAACTTTAAGCCTGTTTGGATACACATTAGAAGCGTTTTTGAGAACTTCTTTATTGGAAATAAAAAAGTATTTTCCTACAAAAAAAAACTCTCAAAAGTGTTACTAAATTACTCAATATCTGGTTTCCTACTCAAATTGTCAGCCCATGGTTGTGTACACAGATGTAGATCAGAGAATGGGTAAATGCCACTAACTACTAGCCCAGTACTATCAAATGTCAATTGAGGGTAGTGAAGGACCATCATATTCTAAACATTATTAGCCACCAATGCGTACTACAAACAATATTGAAGAATAACTAAACGAAACCAGACAATTGGAAAGTGGAGCAATAAAGGTTTGGTACGGTAACAAGGAACATTACGCAACTAAAACCAATGTTTGCATCGACAAGTAGGCCAGTCCAGCTTGTTCCAAGACTCAATAGTTCAAGTTATTGACATGTAATGAGTTTAAGGCATGGACAGAAGGGGAAAACAACCAAGCAAGAAATTACTAAGAGCTCATTCCCTTCCCCTTTCTGGATATTTTCCTCCTTTTCTCTGAACTTTCTTCTTCCCTATCTGGAACCATTATTCAACATAAGTCATTTTTATGTGATTCTTTTAGTGATATATAAGTTTACAACTGTTGTTCCTTGAGTATTGAATCAACACTCTATAGATTTTGGTTAATTTCTTAATTGAGTTTATTCACAGTTTGTGGGGTTTATTATACCGAGAATCATCAACCTACCTGGGTAGCACCAAGATCAAATATGTTTCCAGCAAAAATTCCTCTAACTAAATTCTCTAGTCGTTCCCCTTCATCTTCAATGGCATCATTAAGACGAACAACATTCTCAAATAGGGCTATAGCATTTGCATTCTCTACATCCTGTTGCATTAAATTAGAGAGGAATTACAAATCTTGAGCAAAATAAAACAACACGACTCATTGATGAAGATTAATGATGTTAAGTTTCTTCAACTTAGCCAACAACTTTAGAGAAAAATGCCATTAAATTTCACTATATTCTTCATGTGAGATACTACATTATTGCAACCCCCTATAGTCAGATATATGCATACTTTTCTTCAACATTTTAGCTGAATAGTATTAGCTTTTAGCGCACACAACCCATATTGCACAGTTAATCTTACCTTTATTTTCTTGAAGATATCTCTGAATCCAAGTTCTCTAAGGACTTGCTCACGAAGTCTGCACAGAAGCTAGAACCCCCACTCCCAGAAAAAGAGAGAGAAAGAAATAAAGGAAAATGAAAAAGGGAGAAATTAGACATACAAAAACTGCTGAATTTCGTTTTGTTATTTGATTAACACAGAAGGGGTAGGGTACGTTGTTGAAACAAATTTGTATATAGCTAAAGAACATACAAGTATATCAAGAGGACCGCCTTGACTTCCTGGATCTTTCTTGAAATCTTCAAGTATTCTAGCAAACCTTTTTGCAGGAAATGCATCAACAAAAGATGCAACATGAAATGCAATCAACAACCCCGTATTTATTTGAATTACTTAAGATATTACATAAATATAACAAGAGGTGGATAAACAGTACAAGCCTAAGATCCACAAGAAACATCATTCCTTACCAATTTGGTTATAAAAAAATAAATAAGTCCTTATCATGCAATAAACCTCTCAAAGCAGACCATAAAAGGAAGGCAGTAAGAGATCCACCTTTGAGCAAATTTTTCAGCTTTGTTTGCAGCATCAGGAACAGAAGTATCACTCTCAGCATGCTTCCTGTACCAAATCAAAGCTACAATTTAATGTAAACAATATTAGTTATAATATAATCCCTATCCCCTGCAATCATATAAAAGTCACACTTCACTAGAACAGGTAATGGCTATATTAACATTTTTTTTAATTTTGTTATTAACATTGCTTTTAACCAGTTGCTTCTATTTACCATAATTACTAACGAGAAGCAGCAGCTACACTGTGCTTTTAAAGTTAGGTTAAGAAACACTCAAACTCTGTTGGTCATTGGAACTGAAACCCTGAAAAATACATAGAGAAAATCAGAAACTATAACAAAATCCAACAATTGAAACATTCATTTGTTGTAAACTTTACTGCTTCATTCTGCATGTCCATTTTTCAAAATCGACGAGTGCGATATCAAAAGCTAATGTTTACCAATCACTCAACTGGTAGCTTTGCTATCTTAAAAAGCACCAGAATACCAAAGTTACATAACCCAGTACTCATTAGATTTTTATATTGCTTCTCAAAAACTAAATCCTAATATCCAAGTCCGGAGAAAAATGATGTTGGGGGTCAGTGCATCACATGAACAACTAAAGGGAAGGCAAGATACGGATTAATAATCGAATTCTGAACCACAAACTACATACAATTTTTTTATAAGAAAAAAAAAAGATTTTTTTTTTATGAAAATAGAAATTTGATCCACACCCCATTTTGTTCTTCTTTTTTTTTTTTTTAATAAAAAGATAAGATAAGTAATGGATGAAGAAATTAGAACCACACCCCATGTTTTGTTTTGTGGGAGAAAAAAAAAAACAAAAAAAAACATACTTGTAGGTGGGGATAGTTTTGTGGAGGAGATTAATCCATGATAGCTCGGTGGCAGTGAGAATGCGTGGATCGTCGGGAGGGAACCTCCAAGGAATGGTGCATGCTGTGTAACTCTCATTCATCAACAACGGGAATGGCACCAACTGTGATGAACTCCCCATTCCTGTTTCTGATATATGTCACTCACAATGATTACTTTAAATGATATCAACTTAGAAGAGCAAAGGAACTCTAGCTCGTAGCTAGTGGGTAGTGGCTAGTCCCACATCTTCCAATTCATACATTATCAGGATTCACAAAATTGAGTAAGTTCACGTGAGTTCTAATAATTGTTTTGGTTAGTTGGTAACATTTCTAACAAGTACAATGTGTATGCTAACCTATTTTGGTTAGATACAACAATATTTTTAGGCATAGCCTAAGTGCATAACTTTTAATGTGTTTCTCTCTCTCTCTCTTTTTTTTTATAAAAAAAATGATGATGACATTATTTTACCTAGTGATTTGGAGTGAACATAAGGTTGTGTAGATTGATGAATGGAGGCCTTGGTTGAGAGGGTGAGAGAAGAAGCGTAGAGATTGGATGAGATTGATGAAGGATAACGGGGGACCAAATAGAGGTGAGTCTGAGTTATTGATACAATCCCCATTGAAGCTGTTAATGACCTTACCATGGAGCTAGGGATGCCACTCCACTTGACACTTGTGGTGCACAAAACAAACTTTCCTCACATCCTATATACCTCATTAATTTTATTTCTTTATATCACTTTCAAAATTATTTTTAAGTTGATAACTAATAAAAAAAATTGACCAGTAAAAAAAAATCTAACAACTACTTGAGTTCTTGTTAGCTGTAAAAAAGGATTTTTAAATAATTCCATAAAAAATATTTAGAAAAGGGGTTGTAAAATATTTATGGGGCAGAACATAGGAAAGACAGAGACTGGCAAATTCGTGTTGCCCATGTCTTGAGTGAAGCAAATACGGTAGCTGATTTTCTGACTTTAATGGCTCAATCCTACGTAGTTGGAGTTCATTTTATACACAATCCACCAATTGGGTGTTGTTCTCTGTTACTTAGAGATGTAACGGCCCTTTTTATATTCTTTTGTAATTTCTTGGGCTTAGCTCTCCTTAATACTAAAAGAAAAACATATAAATATTAAAAAAAATTGCCTTGGAAACACTCCTACGCGGATTAAAGAAAGAAATAAATTTTATATTGAAGTATAATAACGGAAAATGTCTTATAAATATGTTAATTGTTCAATTGAATTTAGTTCATTTTAATTTTAATAAGAGAAATTGAAAATCGAATTAAACTGAAATAAAAAAAAATGTGGTTTTCTTGGCTTTCGATTTTTTTATTATCGATTTAATCATTTCTGATTGTTTTTAAGGCATATCAGAGTTGGTTTTAATTATTGTGTTGTTGATATCTTTCGCTCTTTTAATTTGCTGAAAATTGGCGTGGAAACATTTTTCTGGTGTACATTAATTTGACATTTTCAACCGATCATTTGAGAGTACTTCTGCTGGAATCCAATCATGCCATCAATATTTCTCGTTTATTACGTTAGAAATGAAAATAATATAAAATAAAATGGAAGAATCACATTTTAATAATAATGCGTGCAATTTCTTATATGAAAAAATAAGTAAAATTAAAATAATATTTAGTCAATAAAAATTACACTCCATAAATGTGAATTAATTTTTTTATAACTTCAGGATTTGTGTGTATCATGTTCATGAAAAAAAAAAACATATAAGTTTATTTTATATTGCTTTATAAACTTAGAAGATTTCCTAAAATTTACTTAAGCAAAAAGATCAATTACGTTTGATTCAAAATTAAAGGAACTTATCTAAGAAAAACGTTAAGAGTGATGGGGTTATGCTTCATCTTTACATTTCATTGAAAGATCAGAGTAGGAACACCAATAATAGACGATCTATGAACATTAACTATAACAATTTTCAAGAAAACAAGACAAGACAAAACGAATTGGCAAGAGCCAAATGGTTTAGTTACTTAGGTTCTTGGTCGTTTTCAGTGAGTCATGTCATGTTCCAAATTTTCAAGATCTTCAACAACCCCAGAAAATCCCCATCAATCTCTAGTATTATTTTAGCCCTAACTGCCCAAGATCATTAAGGGGAAAAATGACTAATAAGCCAATCAGGGTAAGGATCCAGAGAGAGAAAATGAATGCTACATAAAAGTTTGGTGTGTGATGTCTAAGTTGATGACATAGAACGCTGTGGTTGTGACCAATTAAGAAAGTTGCATGTGAGGTTCTCTGGTACAACAGACTTTTTATTATTAATAATTTAATAAAATAAAAGCCCCACGTACAGTTGGATGAAACATCCTACGTATTTATGCATCAATCCTTACACAAAAGTATATTGTACCGTTCTTTTCTGATAACATTCACCCATCACCTCCTTAAATTTTGCCACAAAAAATAAGGTTCTACCCACGTTTGCACCTATCCAAACAGCACTTTAAAAAGGCCTTAAATCCTAAACCTTCATCTAACTCAAGCCCACCACCCTCTCTCTTCAGCCTCTTTCTCCTTACTTCGCATATCATCATATTCATAGCCATGTTAGATTCTGTGATGGAGTACATCAATCAGGCAGCTTCCAGCTATGCTTTTATTTTCTGCTTCTGCAATATGATCATAGTATTTATCCTAGTGGACTTGAAGCCAAAGCTCGGTTTTGATCAAGAGAGTGAAGAGATACCTCTGTCTATGCCCTCAAACACAGGTACACATGGAGCAAATTCCAAGTTCTTGGTCAACAAAAACACATTATCTCCACAAGCAAGAGAAGTGTCACATGCCAAGGAAGATATGGTGGTGGACAGAATTGAAACTGAAGGTAGTGATAATTGCAACAGTGAGGAAGATGATGATGAACTGAAGAGAAAAGTGGAAGAGTTTATAGAGAGAGTTAATGAAGGATGGAAAGCAGAATATTTGTGCGCATCAAGTTTGTTATGGGGTGAGAATAATAATAGGGAACTTTTGGAGTGAGAATTCTGATTTGTGTCAGTTTGTTTGGATATTCCCCTCATTCTTGAAAAGTTTGTAGGGAGATGAGACTGATTTCTATGTTTTGTTGTATCAGTGAAGAAAATAACTTAGAAACGAGTTGTTTAGAAGTGGGTAATGAGTTTTCATGTCTGAATTCTTTCTGAAAATTACTCTTTCCTTTGTGTTTTAGGAAATACTCGTTGTATTTTACTATTTTGGTACTTTAGTAAATCTAACACTGAGCACAAATGGAGTGAGTGAACTCCACCAAGCAAAGGATGAATAGATTTTTTGATCCGAAGTTTATTCTAGCTAACAGTCACATGGATAAGGAGAAAAAGTAATGCTTATGAAAAGCATGCTACGAAGCAGCATACGTGGGAATTCCTTTTTCATCTTCATCTTCAAATTTTGTCAGTAAGAAATGGTTCCATGACATTCCTTTCCTTTTTCCCCTCATACTTGATGCGCTAGCCAAATCGGGCGATATAGTTCTCTTTCTTGATAGTGTATTAATAGAGAAAAAGTTGAGAGTGTAGAGCATCAAGATATTGCAAGAAATGCAGCCAAATTGTCGCACCTGTTATAATTCAATAAATTTAGGTATGCCTCGGAAAAATTATTGATCCTTTAGAACCAATTCAAGTTAAAGTGGTTGTGAAAATATAATTTCAAGTAATCGGATATATATGGCACTAAATTCATTTAAAATAAATAAATTTCAAGTTATTGGAGATATCTATTAGTACCCGTTTACCCATGTGTTGATATTATAATTTTGAGCAAAGAATCATGGTACCAGAAGGTACTATTAGTTCCTGTTTGGCCGCTTTTAGATAGGATGATTTTGAGCAAAAACTCAGTACTAAAAGGTAAGGCCTAGGAGACTGATATGCAATTTCTTTAACAACAAATAATATTGAGTTACAATTCAGAAACACTCACATCCACTCACATTTTTAACATCCATATAGAACATAATAAATAAGGGGGGAAATGGCACAACATATATCCTATATCTAATTGCTACAACAATGAGTAAACAATACTAAAGATACATCTGAAGAAAGGACACGTGGAAAACCTAACAAACAGAGTTGCCAACTAACACCTAGTACCAAAAGAGTGCAACTTTTGAGTCAAAACCTTCTTTGTGTGACACTCATCTGACCATCAGAGTTGTCTTAGTAAGTTAATTGTCAGCTGTCAGTCAAGCATGAGTGAGAGCCTAAATGAGGTTGACTCTGCATAATATCAAATAATTCACAGGGATATGTTTAGCGTGCAGCCTCAGCATTTGATTGACTTTGGTTAGACTCCTTTTCAGGTAACGGCTCTCTATCATCAGCAGATGAGTTCCTAGAGTCTTGACCATTGTTAAAAGAAGCAATATTCTCTTCTTGAAAAGCAGCAGGTGTCATAATAGGCTTTACTCCACCAAAACTGACTTTAACTTCCTCACCAGAGATAAGATTAACAGGTGTAGGGGTAATAGTTGATATATGCTCCACCCTTTGCTTCTTGGATTTATGCTCCAACTGATGACCAGGGAGAAAACTAGCCACCACAACCTGATGCAGAAGATAGTGAGTGAAATGCCAACTGAAATGCCCAGACCCAGATAATTTTGTTGTTCATGTTTTCGGTTTCTATTCCTACTTTTCCGGGGTAGTTGAAATAGATTAAAAATAATTCATACTAATTCCTATCCAAGAACATTGGTCATCTAACCAATAAAACAAATTAGAACATGCTTTATGAAGATGGGAATAATTTGAACAACCAGCATACTGATTTAATATTATATTATCATGTTTCCCTATAAAATCTCAGATTAACAATCTCATAATGTTCTTGAATATTTTATGAAATATCCCTCTCTATATAGCATGAGATCTACCTGCACTGGACCAGCAGCTACCAACAAACCAGCAAGTCCACCCCCCATTACTCGACCATCTGGACCAGCCAAAGAGACGCTCATCCCACCAGATCTGCTTCTTGTAACTCCATTCTCAGTTGGCATAAAGGAACCAGACAAGGAAAGAATCTCAAACCGTCCCTGTATAAACAAAAAATTAAGTGTGGGCACATTTAATCTATTCACTACGATCATAACTCAAATGAAATTGGAAGATATATGCAACATCAGTTTGATGTTAGTGAATTAACGGCAAACGATGAGTTATCTTTATTGAGGTAGTTAGTGAATTAACCATGTGTCAAATCTCTGATTCCAAAAGCAAGAGAAGTTTTATCCTAAAACCATATATAATCAATCTCCATAAGTATAGCATGCAAAGACACATTAGTTGTCAGAGCACAAAATAAGGTCCTAAGTGGGTTTTGAGATCCGGCAAGCATGAAAACATGAAAACTAATTGTGTGCTTGGTTATAAGTCAGCGTGTATTGATGGATTGAAGAGAGTGAATGTACGGGATATGTGGAAGCATAGGCAAACGCATTACAACAGATTCATCCACAGTCTTCATAAGTGAAAGATGCCAAACACTAAGTTGATAGTGTTAGGCTAAGATGGTAGCAGCAACAACAACAAAAGCCTTATCTCACTAAGTGAGCTCTATTGCATGGATCACATTACACGACACCATTTGGTTTGATTAAAGGAAAAATATTCAGATATACTATGTTAAGCTACTAGAGTAATTCAAACAAATAACTCGGCTAGAAATGATGAATATATAAAAATAAAACAGCACTTCAAATCTAGAATTTGTAGTAAGAAACAAGAACAGTTACAATAGTCCTTATACAAGTGTCACTTCAAAACTGGTTAATAACAAGATTATCGTAGCAACCAATGATCTGAGAGGCCAAGTATAATCGAACAAATAAAATCTGCAGTTACAATTAATTTCGCAAGAGAAGCTTAATCACATAATAAAGGTTGTTATCCCCATACACTAGCAAAAATCAGATCTAATAAAAATGTTTATCCAGCAAAGCCCTGATTCTTTAATTTATTTTCGCTAAAACTTAAACAATCTGCATTGTATGCATCCATTTCTGGTTAATATCACCAAACTGTACACATTTTTCTAAAGCAGAAAAAAATTTAAATAAAAATTAGCAGGTGATATCTAATATCAATACATGCAATGCCAGATAGACAGAGCTGCATATAAAAATGTGCATTAGGGAATATTGTTACAAATTAAGCAATAGACTTAATGTAGAAAATAACTGAAATTATTTTCTTGTTGTGCTGATGACATAAGGAACTCACCTCATACGTTAAAGTACCACCACAAGAAGACGGTTGACGAAGTGTAACATTTGAAATTGTCCCAGTTGCAGACAAAATGCATATAGCGCGTGATCCTTGTTGAGAGAAGGACATGATCTTCATAGTGACGTCCTGGTATAAGACCATAAGAAAATCACAAATACAAAGTAAGCACACTGCACAACAACAATGAAATTAAAAAACAAACATGTAGTCAATAGTTGACTTCAATAATAATGACACTGTACACAACCAAAAGATATGATCCATACAACTATACATGTCATTCTTGCATATATCGATAAAAATATATATATATAACTCTTGCATATTGAAAAAAAAAACTCTACAACATCATAATAAAGTTAATTTGTTAATGATTCTATTGATAATTTATGGATAAATTATACATTACATAGTTGGAATTTAGAGTTCATTAGAAATGAAAAAATTCATAACTTATTTCATTTATTTTACCATAACTCCCTCTGACCTAATGAAGTTCACTGCCCTGCAAGTTGGGGGGTTGTTTATTCTAAAATGTTTAGCCAATTCTGTAACAATTATCACTTAAATAATTTTATCTAATTGATAATAATTTTATCTAATTGATATCCTAATTTCTTATTATTAGTAATAAACAGTCAAATGATTTAATCATAAGGAATATTATAGGTTATCAAATGTAAAGGACAAAAAATGAACACTATTAAAGGCATGAGCAATGAACAAACATAAAGTACAGAAACAAATATGGACTAAGGACAATAAACATACACAAAGGAAAATAATTACATTTTTTAAGTTATTACATTTTAGAGATGAGATAATTGTTTTTTTTTCTTTTCTGTTTTCATCAAAAAATTGCTTTTATGAAAATTCCATTCAAGTGTAATCAAAATAAATGGCATTTGCATTCCTAATGGATATGGCATTAATACACAAATTAACTGGATTAGAATTCTCATTAAGCTTTAGCATATAGACCTAGAAGGAAAAAGGCAGAAATGCAGAATACCTCGCCAGCATTTACTGTGAGCACGTGTGGTGTGAAATTGGCACCAACTGAGTATGCGATTCCCTCACCTATAAAATGCATATTTTGGAAGATGAGTAGAAGGAAAAGGACAGGATATAAAACAATTAAAGAATGTATTAATGTTAAGTCCAAAGAGGAATTTTTTTTAAAGTTAAAAAAAGATAAGAAAGAAACATCAACAATCAGTTCATCAAACAAAAGTAATTCATAAAATTAAAGAAAATAAGTTTTGAAAAAAACAAAGTAAATTTGGAGGAATAAACTATGTTGCCAAAGAGGCTTTCAGAAGAAACTAAACAACAAATAAAACATTTTACACACTGTAGCCAGAAACAAAAGATGCACTCAATAAGCCACATCTTATGTCTTAGGTCCACCTCTTTCATACATTAATTGGACAGCAAAGTTCAGACTCATATATCAAAATATTACACGATAGAGAAATAACCAAATAAGAGAACCTAATATAACACTAATTTTGAATTCATCATTACCCTGGATCTACTCTGTCACCAGCCAAGTCAATATAGCATCTCAACTTCTGTGATGTATATGAATTTCTAAACCTCTGCTATACCATAACATGGTAGAAACTAGAAATCACACCTGACCTACCCATTCCCCACACAATATACCCTATAACCCTGGTTCTAAGCAACTCCATTATAACCTATGTCATTAAAAACCTCCTTCAGAACCTTTACATACAAAGAAAGTCAAACCTCATGAACAATACATGATCCCAGAATAAGTTCAGATATGGAAGTCATGTTTACCACCAAGCTACATGTAGCACAGCATTTCTAACGTCTTAGAAAAAAAAAACAATTCAATTTCACATGTCCCCTTGTCATGAAGTGGAAATGTATCCAGCACATAGGGGTATGTTTAATAGTCAGCAGAGAAAGGCAGAAAAAGGCTAAAATACAAAAAAAAAAAAAAAAAAAAAAAAAAAAAGAGAGAGAGAATGAGGGAGTAAGTAATGATTTATTTTCTTTCCCTTTGTTTCAATGCATAAAATCATCCAAAATTTGGAGAACATTTTAATTTCAGAAAAATAGTTTAAAATGATCTAATGAAAATCTCACATTTATTAACTTTCCTTTTATAAAACGTCCATATATGGTAAGGTCCACCTAAAATCTTCAGTAATCATCTGTCCACACATACCTTAGGAGACCAAAAATCTCCAGCATGAACTATGAAAACCATTTCATTGCATTTCAATGTTACATAAATGGATACTATCATTCTCAGAAGCCACTCTCACGTCCTTGAGTGAATAAGTTCCACCTTTTGAAAACATTGTCAACCAAAATTCCTATTATGAAACCCATTTTTCAAAACATGCAAATATTCAACAAGGCAGTTAGAAGCTTCTAAAAATAATTATTAGTGTAGACTTTAGACCAGTTCAAGAGTGGCACATCAGCTAACAAACACTATTGGACTCAACCTACTAAATAAGCTGGTCCCTTCATTTACTCTAACCGTTTCCATGGTCAGATAATGCTATCTTCTTCCCCTCATAAAGGAAAATAAAGAATACCATATGCTACCCTGAAACAAAAACCAACCTCACTGTCAACCACGAAATATCCCCATCCACCTCACAATTTGTATTCAGATCTGAAAAGGAATCAGCGCTAAGGGTCCACTCATACCCCCCACCCCCACCCCCTATATAAACTCTCTCACAAGAGCAAAATCCAAATCCAAAAAGTTCACTTCACACTAAAACACAGATCAAAGTAAATAACTTACTATTCCAAGTGATTTACCCCAAATCAATTAGGACCCAAAAAAAAATAACATTTATGATACTCCTCCATTAAAGAGCTAAATGACAAGAGCCACCAGGTTAGAAGGATTCACTCATTTATTATGACTCCCCTACTCTCATCTCAACAAATTGCAAATGTAACAGTAAAAATAAAACCTTAGCAGCAGATGTAACAGTAAAACCCCAAAAGATTAAAAACATAAGCAGTAACTGAGATCAAAGTCTTCAATTCAAAAGATCAAAAGACTATATAATACCTGTTCCAGGGCTTTCAACGTCAAACTTAAACGAAGACTTCTTGATAGATTCAATAGGCCTCCCTCTACCCCTCTTCCAAGCGGAGAACTCGCCGGTCAACGGAATCGACGACGAAATCGGCATCGGAGAAAGCGCCGTCACCGCCCCCGCAACCACCTTGCCGTCCGGCCCATACTTCCTAGGCCTCCCTCTCTTCTTTTTCACCTCCGTCCCCAGCGCCGGCGCCGGCACCGGCACGGTGGCCCTTGAAAAGTCCAAGTTGTTCTCAATTCTAGGAGCCACATGGAAGCTCTCTGGGGCTTCATCACCCACCACAACACCAAAATTCTCTCTTCCCTCCATTTTTATGCAAATCAAAGACAAACTAAGATACCCCAAAACCTCAAAAAACTTTACTTAAACCCTACCCATTGAAGTATCAAACTCTTCCGCACCCAATCACCCAAAAAAATTCCAAAAAGAATTGAAATTTTTTAATGGGGGTAAATGCTAACTTTATTCAAGAGAAAACAGATTTGGGTGCCGGAAAAATTTACAATCTCACAGGAAACTTCAAAACCACAAATTTTTTTGTATGAAATGGGGAAAAGATGAGAACCCAGAAATGAAATTAAAGCAGATTGAGCTTCCTCCGAGAAAATCGCAGTGCTGCAAGCTCAAATCTGCACCATTGCAGAGAACACAGAAAGCTTTGAAATTAACAAAAAATTTTGAGAAAAAAAAAATCTACAATTACAGAGAAAAATACAAACTCCAGTTCATAAATTCTCCAGAGTGGTATGTGAATTTAGGGTTTTCCAGGAAAAGGTGGAGTAAATAAATAAAGTTGATAAAAAATTGAAAAATTAAATAATTGTTAAAATAAAGTAATTAAATATTGAGAATTTAATTATGAATTAATATTTTAATTGTAAAATTGAAAGTATAAAATTTGGTTAAGAAATTGGTTCACGTCCGTCTTGGAAATTTAATAAAGGTGATTTAATAAATGACTGTGAATGCAGATACTTAATTTGAATGCATTAAAAAAATACGTAACATTTTTGAAAAGGAAAGAAATTGCCATTTGTTTAATATAAAACCGGCATTTATTTAAATAAAGCATTTCTTAAAAAATAAATATTCAAAGCTGTAAAGCTAAGATAGGAGCCATTACATTTTCCCAACTACTGACAAGTTCTTTGTCTTTTCAGTTAAAATAAATTAAAGTTGACCAAGAAACTCAAATTGATGAACTCCAAAGAAAAAATAATATGAAAATTGAAATGCCCTCTTCATTTGGTTAATCTACTGTAAATGCCACTGTAAACGCATGCTATCTGCTTCTTCTTTTTTCCGCTTTCTTCTCCTCATTTACAGCTTCTGTTGACCAAAAGTACTGTTTCATAAATTCCACTTTTTCCCTTTTTATCAGGAAAATTAAATCAACTTAGGAAATAAAAAAGACAGACAATATCATGTTTCTCACAAAATTTTGTTGAAATTTGGTATGTCATCATATGAATTTTAAAATTTATTATGATGCTCAAAATCTGCTGTTTGTGTCTTCTGAATCCAGAGTACTGACATTATGGACCCGTTACAGTACGTCAGGTTTGTACAACTCTGTTCGTAAGTAGGTAGATAATAGATATTTCCTTGTACCAAAATAAAAAGTAGGTACATGTTTGACCCAATTTTTTTGGTTACATATGAATGTAAATTTTGAGTATGCAAGTCGCAAACTTACTTTAAAATCTAGTGTATTTATGAATTGAGTTCCTGTTTCGTGATAACATAATTTGTAATTAAAACTTTGTACGTAAAATTTATATATAAAAAATAGGTTAAATATAATGTGTCAAAATTCAGTTTTTTTATTTATCATTGTCAAAATTTAGTTTTAGTCACTTAAGTTTAAATCATCCTATTTTGCTCTCTTAATTTTTAAAAAAGTGTAGTATTATTAATTTGTCTACTGTTATTGAAATAAAGCTTAGTTGTAAAATTGTTTATTGAAGAAAAATTCCATGCATGATCAATTTAATAACAATGAAGTAAGTTAACATTAAATAGTCATATATTCCATCATATGTATACAAGATTTTGGTGGTTCTCATCATAATTTTTAATCAGAGTGAATATTACAACAACAGTAATAAACATCTCTTATTGTATGTTTCATCAAGTGCGTAGAAGTTATTTTTTTTTTATGTAAATCAAGAAATTTGTGAAAGTTGAGTAACTGATTATGTTGGTTTAATTTTTATATCAACAGTTGAAGTATATTTTATCTATTACATTATGAGATTAAAAAAAATCATGTATTGCTGCTAAATAACAAAAGCATGTGTTTGTACACCTTAGCCCCCACTTGTAGTAACATATATTCATCATTGATCTTATCCTTCTTTTGTGACAAATTTCAAAATATTGATCAAATAATGCATCACTAATTTGACTTTATTTATCAAAATTAACAGGATAATATGCAACTAGTTCTACTGTGCCAATGGTTTTTATTTTTTATTTTTTATTGTTGCGTGTTTATGAATACTTTCTAGATTTGATGTACTTAATCTACAAAGTAAAATTACAATGTTAAATGACATTTTAAATATATTAAGCAAATAATATTATTAGATATATTTACAAATTAATATGATAAAATGTTTGGTCCATATAGATGTAAAAAATAAACTTTTTGTTAGGAAGTTAAAACTACACTATTATAAAATACTCTATAGTTATTATTAGAACTATGAAAAAGATAAGATTACAATAAAAATAATATTCAATTTTATTTATTGATGTTTCTAAAAGCTAAAAATACATTTTTATAACCTAATAAATATTGAGAATGATTCTACCGATGTCATTATCTTATTATTTTAAGAAAATAAAAATAATATAATTACAAGATAAATATCTAATACCAGTCTATAAATTCTTTCAACTATTTTAAAAAAAATTCTCCCTAAAGCCCATTCTATTAGCTTCAGTCCATTTGAAACATATATATGACATAGCTAGAACTATTAAGCCACATCACATCTGCATAACATTGTTGTACCTATGATAGTGGATAACATGCCATTTTCATCTATTCAAATTAACCTTGTTAGTAAAATGAATTGCACATATTTTTAAAAAAAAATTATAATACATTTTAAATTTGAGGAACTAAAATAAAATCTTATAATATTTAAATGACTCAAAACATATTTTGAAAAAATAATTTTTAGAAATTGATATGATTTATCCTAAACAGAATATTGATAACAAGTCAAATTGTATATAAAATTATAAAATTGATATTAACGTTTTTTTTATCTTCTTTCTTGTTGATTTGACGAAGGTTTGTATAAAATTGTTAGAACGAAGGGTTTGATATTTTTATGCATCTCTTTACGGTGCTTTGAGTTTGACCTAATTCATTAACAAATTTTATATATGTGCAAATAACTCACTGTGCTTGTGTTTGGTAAAAAAAAAAGGGAAAAAAAAAGAGAGAGAGAAGTGAAAAGAAGGAAAGTATGTGAGAAATAAAGTAAAAATTATTGTTCAATAAAAAAAAAAGTAAAAGAAAGTAGAAGAAAAATGAAAAATTGATATTTTTTAATTGGTTTATATTTGATTAAATTACATAATTACCTTTTACTATTACAAAAACTTTTAATTGGTGACGGAAAGTAGTTTTGTAGTCTAAAACAACTTTCATACAAATCCTCTTATTTTAGAAGAGGCTAAAATTCACTGCAAATCTACTAAAACTAATTTACACTTCCCTTAAATTACTTTACTTTTATAAACACTTTTAATTGGTGAAAGATAGTTATGCAATTTAAAACAATTTTTACACAAATTCTTTCAATTTAGAGAGAGTTAAAATTCATTTGGAGCCACCAAAACTTTCTTACACTTTCACTTATTTTTACTCGATCAAGCACACTCTCAAAGCTAACTTCCACACTCTTCCTTCGTTTTCCACTCTACCAAACACACTCTTTGACTTATAGCTTCTCAAAGCCTGGCTTTATGATATTATTTATGTCCACACAATTTTCTTTTCAACAATTTTAAAGAATCCGATGACTAATAAATCACTTTGACAAATGTAGCTTTAGCGGCAACAAATGAAGAGCCCATGAAAACTGAATATGTTTGATGGCATTATAATCAACATTGAAGTTAATAATAAATAATTTTGATGAAAAAAGTCAAGTGGTAAAATAAAATAAAGGAAAAAGCTTGGTCACTATTAAAATGATGTTTAATCAATAAAAATAATATCCTACAAATATAAATTAAATCTTCAGTTATTCAAATAATGTTTAATCAATAAAAATAATGTCCTACAAATATAAATTAATCTTTGGTTATTCAGTTTTAGAATACTATATCATATCCATAAAATAAAAAAAAATAATGAAAAACATTACAATTCACTCCACTTGTCAATCAAGCTCCTGTTGAAATTTTAATCACCGAAAGAGAATAACGATAAGGCACATTAACGCTAAATCTCATGATGAAATATTTTGAATTCAAAATATTAATAATCCATCCCCATAAAGTGGATATCCAATCCAGATGAAACAATCGGAAAGTAAATGGCATTAGACCGCAAAATCTCACATTAGTAAGTTTGTTGTTCCACTTCTCCAAATGTACACAATCAGGAAGCCAATTACAATTGACTTATCATTATCCATCACAGGTAAACTACAAGAAGTAAAATGAAACACCAAAGAAAAGAATCATGCTAACATATAACTGAGCCTTTTTTCCTCAAAGGAATATTCAATCTCTTGAACCAAGTCACCTCCATAAAGAACTGATGTGGATGTGGGAGTTGAATTTAAGTTTATATTTTTCAACACTGATGAAGGAACTGGAGTCATGGCCATATTCATTGGAATTGATACTGTGGAAGGGGTCGCTGGGACAGGAATAGGCATAGCCTTTGGAGTTCTATTCTCTTCATCTACCACAGAAGCTGTCTTGATCGGAGTAGTAAATGGCACATTGTTAAGCGGCACTGTTTTCTGCAACTTCTCACTCTGTTTATTCCGTTCATCTGCAGCATTTGACATATTAGATTTTGAAGATACATTAGAAGAGATGGGAGAAAAAGGTTGTCGCGTCAGAGGAGATTCTATGACTTGAGTCCCCGCACCAAATGAGTACTTTTTTACAGGAACGCCAGCAATATCCAGTCCTCTTCTAGCTGTGAAAACATAAGCAAAACCACAACTGTTAATTTCTAAATAGATCCATGTGGTACAAGAAAAATGATAATGCCTATATATTGGTAACTTAATGTGCCAGATAGATGTGGCTTTGACTTCCTCCTTCAATATCAAACCAAAACGAGATGCATAAAAATATCTTTGATTCCACATAAAAACCTTAAATCAAAAAGCCATCATCAAGAAGAGTTACTTCAGAGAATCTGTAATAGCTGGTTTTTGTGACAAGTTGGATACATCAGCTACATTGAGCAAGGTCCTTGTGTCATCCATTTTGAGAATAAAATTCACAGATTGGAAAACATTATATGATACTGGAATATTACATAACCATTTCCTTCCTTAAACGAAGAAAAAAGAAGGCAAGAGAAGAAAAGCTAGTGTTTCCAAACAACATTTTTTATTTTGCTTCACAAGATCTGGAGCAAAAGAACCTTGACCGATCAAACAGACACTGACCACTTGAGCCAAAACCTGCTAAAAACTAAGAGAGCAATAGAGTTTTTTCTTCTATTCGGACAAACAGGAAAAATAAACAATTATGAACTCTAAGCGAGGTATTTGTAACCAACCCCCGATAGTATGACCAAATAAAGGTAGAGAACAATAGAGTTTAAAGAAACTACCTGGTGACAAACATGAAACGCCATCATCCAGGTAATTTAGATGCTCAATTTGGTGTGCTTTGTCCATCTTTCTCATAGCACGTGCATGTGTAGCTTTTGAATCAGGTTTTGGAGTTTGAAGCATTGCTCCTCCAAGCGACACTCTTCTACTAGATGCACCTCCGGTTGACATCCTAGGTCCCTTTTTTACACTCTGGGGCTTTGAAGGACTTGGTTTTGACCCATATAGTGCCTCCTGTTCTGCTATCATTTGTCCCTGGAGTTTCTTCAGGTCCTGAAACAAAAAAATGTAACATTTAAACAAATTTATAAAACATCTATTTCAAAAACGATGTAAGGTCAAAATAATGAGGCTTGGAAATTTATTTGGGATTCATATTTAAATGTGATTAGAAGCCCTTACCCGCTGCCTACGACGTTCTTGCTCTTTCTCTTGCCTTAATATAGTGTATTCTTCAAGCATTGAAAGCAGACGAATCTACAAAACCACACACAGAAGAAATCACTTTGAGGATTTACTTGAACAACCAAAACTTCATTATCAGACAAGTTCCTTGGAGAGAGTACTTACACCATCATATGTGAACTCAATGCCTTTTTCCTTTTCCCATGCAATAGTTTTTGAAGACAAAGCATCCACCATGGCTATATGCAAAAGGAGAGACGTTTTAAAATTATACACAAACACTAACGGAGAAAAACAAAAGTTCCATCCAACAAGCAGAATCACATGGCTTGGACATTGGATAGAAAAATAGTGTTGAAAGAAAAATGTAGTGCAAAACAAAACTTGAAGAAAACAATATCAATCAAGAAAATAACTAAACTAACGTCCATACTTCATTACTCCATAATTGCTTTTGGAACTCGAGCAAAGTCAGAACAATAAGAACTATCATTACTACATAATTGCTATTGGAACTCACAAGCAAAGTCAAAATATTCGGACTCACTATACTATAATGTAATCCACTATAATGCTGGTTCGTGATTTAGTTTGATGTTAGCTCATTGAGCCATAATGGTAAAGGTCCAATAACAAGTAACACATTAGTTACAAATATAGCTAAAAGTTAAGATCTATAAATACCTGGAATTTTGTTAACCAAGGCCCGAGCTTTCTCAGCTCGCTTGAGAGTAAGATGAGCACCTCTCCCAGCATTGTATCGATTATCATCCTGGAAGATAAACAAAATAAACAGTTAAATTATTATAGCTATGATTAAAAAGTGAGTCAAAATGGCAATTTTGAAGGTTATAAATAACTAACCCTGTTGTACTCCTCAAGCCAAGACTCCTCATCACACGCTGCTAACCATTTCTCAACTTTTTCAAGTATCTCTTTTCTGCTAAAAGCTTCCTCTTTGACCTGGGCAACCTGAAGTTCAATTTGTTCAAGCACACAAGCAGGGTCCACAGCTCCTGCATCAAAAAGGAAGAGGCAGACCTTTAAGATTGCAAAGGAATTAATTGTAATCATATCAGAAACACCTTACTAGAAAGCAGAAAGTTACCAGATTCTATGGCATCAACAGCATATTCCACTGCATTATCTATTTCTGGAACCAAATGAGTCTTTCGACAAATCTCCTCCAACTCTGTTCTCTTCTTTAATACAAGCTCTTTCATCTTGCTTGATTTTAACTCTTCTAACCTAGCTACTTCCGCCTCAACCTGTGTGATGAATGACAATATTGGCACTCCATGAATTGTGAACCATAAAAATAAAAAATAAAGTCCCTATTATACTCGAGCAACTTATAACTCACACAGTTGATGAAGTCCACGGACAAGGTGTTTGGTTCAGTTACTTCATGTTCTGAAGCAGCTATATTACAAGTAACATTTTGAAACATCTGCTGCTCTTCAACAGGGGTGTCCATCAAGTTCCAGAGCTCCAACATTGTTGTTGCAAGGTCTTGGAGCTGTCAAAACCATAAGTTATTTACAACTATTACCAGAGGGAAAAAAACACAAAATTCAAAAATACAGAGCAATAAAATTTATTTCTAAATCATTATTTACCTTTTGCATTCTCTGTAATTTAACTTCCCGCAGTTCTTGTATAGCAACAGCTAATTGCTGAATGGTGTCATTACTTACACTCTTAGATCCTTCTGAGTCCACCAAGCTGGGATGAATTCTGCTAATTGTTTGGTTAAAATCCAAACCAAGCACTAAACAAAGAGAATTCAATGTATACAGCTGCTCCTGTACTTTCTGTAAGCGGCTACTCTGCATGAAGATAAGATACAAGCATAGTTACTAAAAGTAATAAGGGACACAAAAAATGATTATACGAGTCAATGAAACAGTCAAAAAAAAAAAAAAAACTAAAGTAGAAGTAGATAATTGACCTTCTCAATTTGAAGTGCATGCAGCTGCCTGTGCAATTCTTCAAGTTTTCTCAAGGATAAATCAGTTTCATCTACAGTAGCAGGAACGTACTCTCTGGTACCATATATTTCAATTGAAATGCTTTGAATCTGCTCTTGAACTTCTATAAATTGACTATTACGCTCAGATTTCCTTTTTTGCATCTCCTCCAACTGCGGAATAATTCTTGCGTGCTCTTCCTTCAGGCTTCCAGCATTTTGATCAGACTAGAAAAATGAGAAAGACACAAAGATTACAAGTAGTCAAACTAACAAACTATCCTGACCGAAAATAGCAAATAACTAGTCTTTAAAGCTATATATAGGGCGGTAAATCCACTTAGGGATGCGTTTTCTTTTAATGTGGATTTTTTTTTAAGAACTTTTTCCACCGGATTCAGATAGTACAGACATGCCTTAAAACAACAGCAATCAGATTACAACATTCATAAAATATCTAACCTGTCTAATATGCACTGGTCGCTCTCCCATTGATGAACAAATGGCTGCAAGTTCTGCCTCACAATCAGCTATTGCCTGCCTTAATTGAGCTCTAGACCGATTTGCCAGATCAACCTTCCTTCTGTATACTTCTAGACACTCTTGTTCAAGCTCAAACAGCATTCTGTCTCTGTCAGACTCAGTCTCCCCAACTTCGTCCCATATTATCTAATAAATAGGTCGAGGCAAACAATGAGAAATTCTTGCACATTTACTGAATATTCACCACCGGCTGGTGAGAAAGGGGCGATGGGAAAGACAACTGCAGCAAAATTTAATACGTACCTGAAGCTCGTAGAGAAGTGTTCCACAAGTTGTTTCCGATTGCAAAAGCGGATCATTTTGAGGTTTGGACATTTTGGGGAACTTATATCTGCGAGAGACATTCTCATTAAAATTCAGAAAGACCACATCGCAAAATAGCTGTCATACTAAATTGACAGGACATTTTTGTATCATACAATCAATATATCATACATATAGATAGTAACAAAACACTTGTCTACAAATCAAAGAAGCCTTCATTCAAGGGGTACCAATTTAGAAAACGACTTTGAATTTTGATCGCGGTTCAAAAGCAATTTTATAGCCAATGCCAAAAGGGCAGCCAACACTCCCAATATGTTAATGGTTAGGGCTCAATTCAAATAAATACGTTTGCAAGTGAAACGATCCATTAATGAGACAACTTTTTCGTTCCTAAACAGTGAATTGCAAATATACAGCCTCTACAGTTACACTTCACAAAACAAAAACCTGTGAAACCTAAAGTAAAATCCACCACACCTTAATCACAAGGACAAAACCAAGGGCTCGGCAGAACAACTAAAGAGCAAAACACTACATGAGTGACATTACTGCTAGTGCTGAAGCAGTACATTCATTTTCTCAAACTCATCGTCTCGAATATAAAAATAGAAATAAAAATAACAAAACAACATTTACAAAAAAAAATAAAAATCAATTGAACCCAAATAGAGGAAAGAGCATAAAGCTTTGTTGTATTAATCCGATTCAGAGAAAGAGTGCAGCGATCTCAGCTGGAAGAAAGTGGAAGTAGCTACATTATTAAAATTTCAGAAAAGCGAGAAAGGAAGCACAAAGTCGCGTGGGTTCAAGAAGCGAGAAACAGAGTAACCGATTAGACAGCGACAAATGAAGTGAATTGAACCATCTAGATTTGGACAGAGGTTTCAATTTCCCATATTAGGGATTTGAGATTTGACTGGTTCCAGTTTTTTCATTGATGCGAGAACTGACCTGAAAAACACAAGGGATCTGCGAATCGCTTCGTGGTGGTCGGTGCTGAGAAGAGGAATGAGTTGATTTTGTGGTGAAAATGAAAATGAAAATGAGTTTTGGAAGAAAATGGATTTGAAGTTTGAATTGTTGAGAGCGAAAGAGAGAGAGAGAGAGAGAGAATGTAGCCGTTTTGATTTTGAAGAAAAGGGACCGTTGAAGAGCGCTCGTTGTGGATTTGATTTCGATTTCGATTTTATTGCTTTTCTTCTCTCTAAAAAAAATAATAATAATTTTTTTATTTTTGTGTGGGATTCGGATTCTTTGAAAAGAAAAAGGTTTGAGAGTGAAATGGGAAATTAAAAAGACAACATATTTGAATTTCAAATTCAGAGGAGAGAGAAAGTCGTAAGGTTTTGATTTCAAAGTATTATTTATTAATTACTTGCTACACAATTCTTACCAATTGGATGAATTGGGATTTCCATTTTTGGTAAATGAATTGGTATTTTGTTTTTTAATTGAATTGGAAATTTTAGTTATAATATATTAATGTTGGTTAGAATTGGATTGGATTAACGTAACCTACACTATGCTTTTACCTGTAAGATGGACTACTGTTCTTGTTGAATTTCTTAGTTTAATGTTTGACTTGTTTTTTTTAAGGTATTGTTGTTAAATAATGACATTTTCACATGAATGCTACTTTTAGCACCGAAGAAATACAAAATTATATACTATAAAATTAGTGCAGGATACTAATAATTGTTAATATATTGCATTTGGACATTTCTCATCTCTATTAAAAAAAAAGTATGTGAAATAAGGTGATGCACCAAATATTTAAAAACAGTTTTACATTTCATCAAATTACAAGCTTATCATTTTATGATATATTTTAACTTTTATAATAAATAAATATTAACAGTGATATTTGATTAGTTAACAATATAAAACTATCTTCACCATTCAATTTAAAATGTCCATTTGCACTCTTAACTATTTTTATATAACTTTTCAGTTCTTCCTTCATTTAATTTTTTTCTTTAAATAAAAGTCAAAATTAAATATGAGATTATTGATACTTCTAATATTCTTAAAATAAGACCAATTAAGTGATAGAGATGTCATGATTTATTAATTCAACAAAGATTTTAAAAAATTTATTAATAAAAATTATTATGATGACAACAAAATTTAAATATATAACCTTATCCATACTATTTTAGGGTGTGTGTAAGAAGAAAAAGAAAATATGTATAAAAATTAAATTTTTATTTTATTTTTTCTTTATCAAATGACTATTATTTCTACTTTGTTTTCTTTATATTTTTTACATTTTTTTTTTCTTTTCTCTTTATCAAATGCAAACTTAATATCTCACTAGGCTGCTCCTAAGTTCTAATGATTCTAAATATTTTAATATTATACAAAATATTAATAAAACACTGCAAAAATTATAAGAAAAAATATATTTAATAATAATAAGGTGAATAATCATATTTGATTTACACTTTTCTCTTTTTACTCATTTATCTTTTAACTGATTTTAAAAATTACTCTTCTCGTAACAGTTATTTATCCACAATTATCCTTCATTTTTAATTAAAAATTAATTACATATATAATTAAATTTACTCTAAAAACTATCAATATAGAAAGCACATTTTGACTATTTTCTATCTATTGAAGATAAAATTTTGATTAAATTATATTTTTTGTTCTTTTATTTTTGTTGATCGTAATTTTAATTTCTTTATTTTAAAATAAAATATTTAATCTTTCTATTTTATAAAATATAAAATATTGATTTTTTCATCAAGTTGATATTCATTGATCGTTTCATTTTAACATTATATGATGATTTATTACAATTTAAGTAATATAATATTTAGTGACATGACATACATAAATAAAAATTAAAAATAACATGAAAAAGATCTTTGTTTGGATCTATTTTTTTATAAGTGATTGATATTTATTTTATTAATAAAAATCTTATTTGTATATTTTTTTTAATTTTTATTTTAAAATTTCATGTTACTAAATGTCATATAACTTAAATATGAATATATATTATAATTAACAATTAGTAGATATTAATTTGATAGGAAGATCAAAATTTCGTATTTTTAAAATTAAAAAGACTAAATGTGTTTGTTTTAAAATAGGGAGACCAAAATTATGAATTGATGAAAATAGAGATATTAAAAATATAATTTAACCTAAAATTTATATATCCTACAAAACAAAAATTATAATAAATAAAGTAATTTATATATAAATTTTATGTACAAGCTTTTATTTATTTAAAAAATATATTATAATAAAAGTAAAGTCTAACTATAATATAATAATAATAATAATAATAATAATAATAATAAATTACAAACCGTCACATATCTATACTTCTATATGTTAATAAAGTTGACTCTCTTTTTTTTTTTTAACACATTTGTATAGGATATTTTCTACTTTTTATTATAACTAATAATCTATTTTATCTTAACTTTTATTTTCTTTTTCATTTTTTACTTTTTTAAATAAAATATATAAAAAAAAACATAAAGTATCTTATTTCCACTAATTATTTAATAATAATAACAATAATATCTATATCTATAATCTATAATCTATAACATATAAATAAAGATAATAATTTGATTTGATGTACGTATTTTTTTTAAATAATTTTACTTTTAAATTTTTAAATATTAAAAAATAATTATTCTTACAAATATAAGATTTGAATTCAAAATCTTGAAATTTAAAAAATAATATTAATATATAATTACTCTTAAACTTTTTTGTAAGATTCTTAAATTTATCTTTATGAAAAAATGATACCTTTCTAACTTTTTGTTTTGCCTGTTTTAGGAAAAAAGAAACTCAAAATAAATCAAGTCAAACATTAGCTAAGAATAACTTAATTGAACTTCTTTTGCCAAAGTTTTCAAAACTTGGATAACTTAAAGAAGTATAGTTTTGAAGAGAAATGCTGGCACAATACTCTCTCATACTCTCTTTTAAACATACTCTTTCTAATTAGTTAAATTTTATTAGAAAACATAAAATTTAGTTATCTTAGACATTATTTAACAACTCTTTCTTTCTTATAATTTTGTAATTTTCAATAAATTCTAACAAATGAAAATGAATTTAAGAGAAGTGAATGTGTTTAGAGATTATACTGATCCTCAAATTTCAAAATACTTTGAAAGGTTACCAAGTATCCATCATTTTCCTGTGTCTGTCGGACAACTTTCCAAACAAGAACAATATTTAGCACAAATCCTTGGCACAAAATATCAAAAACTATCCTGGCCAATGCCCTGGTAACACGCAAATGCAAGAAACAATATAAGGTGATATTTAATATCAAAACTTGTACAGGATCATGTAGTAGTACAGATGACTTTTGATGGTTGTGGAATAACCTAACATATTATCATCCCAATCTTTTAAAAAAAAATCTCTATAATTAATAAATATTCTATGAAAAAGATTCAAGTTGGCTACTATCTTTTACCCCTTCTCAAACAATCACATTTCTACACAAGTCATACCCAATTGAGTGCACAAGCACAACATTTGATAGTAAAAAAATAAACAAATCTCATGATGCCCTTCCACCTTCATATTCTCTCCTAATGATTTCAAACACAAGTTCATTCCAGGTATCAACAGGGCCAGGCATGCACCAGTGCAAGCAATCCTGTGGTGGTGGCCTTCCATCAGGGCCACGTTTTGTGATCTTATTAGGGTCAGGGCTCCTATAAGGGCCAGGGTGACCATCATGCCTGTATTGAAAGGCTTCAGTGATATCCATTAGCCTCAACTTTGATTTATTTGTTACTCTTTTCATTGCTCGGTCAAAACCTGTGACCTGTTGCTCATGCATTATATTTGTGTGTACATTTTCCACCAGTTCACCAAGTGCAAGAGGCTTAACCTTCCCAGTGCATGATCCACCGGTGTTCCATGCCCCACCCTCATAATGGTCAGGAGAGTAGGAACGCACAATTGTAAGGCCTGTGTAATTTGGAATTGTACCAATTGCAGTAAGAATTGTTTCAACAGATATGCCGTATGCTTTAACGCTGTCAACCTTCATCTGCCGAGATTTGTCCGGCCACCACAACTGTCCTCCCACTATCTCATTGTTCAAAATATACACAGACTGCTTGGCAAACCAATGACCAGAAGAAAGAACAACCACATCAAAGTTTGGGATATGTTCCATCAACTTCTCATCAGGGGCATCAAGATGGAGCTTATCCACACCGGCTGGAGCATAATCAAATGGTTCAGATGTTAATTTGACAAGCCATGAGGACCATATCCTGACAATCATAACAGAGGCAGACCTAAAATAATATCGTTGCATATGACGATTTCCCCGATTCTTTGGTTCCTCTACCTGAAAGTACAATATTTTTATTTAAGCTTCTCACTGCCATAAAATGGTTGTTCACGTATGTAGAACCCATGTATGTGTACTTTATACAAATATAGAAAGTCAAATACATGATGCTGACAGGCAACAAACCATTTGATCATGAACATGGCAGCTGCAGCACCAAGGCCACATGAAGACAACTCTTGACCTGGTGCAAAATTATGTCTTTTTTTTTTTAATTTTAATGAGTTTGATGGGAAAGGCAATGGAAGCATTAAATTAAAAAACCAAGTTAGGATGAAAATAAAGAACTGCAGGACCATCTGCAATTTTATAAAAAATGAAATATTGAGATAAATGAACTGCATCTCACTCGGAGCTTGGTTTTACCTTCTAAACATGTTTATTACAGAAAAATGCCACATATAGACATATCAAATACTACTTCCATTCCTATTTATAAGACCCAACTTAGAACAATTGTTTATTCCTTTATATAAAACCCAATTCATATTGTCTCATGTTAATTATTTTTAGATTAAAATACCCCTAATTAGAGTGTGTTTTCTTAATTTGGTAAAATGCATTAATTATAAATTTTTAAAGATCATACACTCTAATTGGTTAGAAGAAAGATAAATATTAATTAGGAGAGAAAAATAGTATACAACATACGCTTTAATTGGATAGAAGATATGTGAGTATTAATTAAGAAAGAAATGTAGTATAAGGATAGTTTTAGAAAGAAAAAAATATATAAATAGGACAAATTTATTGTTATTAACTAAATTAATTACTTTTTTTTAATCTTGCTGAATTAGGTAATTGGGTCTTATACATAAAAATGGAGGTAGTATAAGAAATCAAGGGTTGCTTCAAAATGGCTAAAGGATGTATTTCACAAGTGCCAAGAGGATTTTCTTGAAATTTTAAAATCTAAGCCTAGTATTGCATGCAAATTTTACAAAAATTAAGCATCCATCACAATCAGAGAGACAATTTATTTCTTCATGTGACCCAAAACCAAACAAATCTAAACTCAAAAGGAAATTCACAGTTTGATATTAACATCAAAAGCTATCCCATTTGTTTCTTTAAAGAACTATCATGTTTAAGTCTTTCCCTTGAAGCAGGAATTTCCTTAAGATTTAGTCTATAATTTGCAGACAAATTGAACTATCAACTATCTATGATTCAGTCATGTTTGAATTGGGCAACCTTATGGATAATCTCATTATCATGACCAGAATACCAGTATCCAAATTTAAATATTTAAGAGGTAACCCTATTTCAAGAAAAATCATAATCACAAAAAATATGCATATCATCCAATAGAAGATATTGACAAGAAGTCAGCAAAAAAGTGAATACTTGTATCATCTTGGAATCATTTTATCTTTTAGGCAAGTCAAATCAATAAGGAATAAAAAAACCAACCTGCCACAGAATACACAACATTGATTCCATCTGGTTTCGAGCTACTGAATCCCCAATGAAAGCCAAGGTCTTCCCTCTCATCAGCTCCAAAAATTTCTTGGGATCAAATCGTGGGAGGTCACACTGAAAGGGCTTCCATCGCCAATTTTCATAATCCTGGTCAGGCCTTCCATTACCCTGGCAATTCTGCATCTGTGTCAATACAGGGCATGTATTGTTTGTGTATAATGGTCCCAGTGGATCATGAATCCAATTTCCATGGTACAGATCACAGCCTACACAACAGAAAGGGAAAGAATTAAAAAACCCATTATGCACAGAGTAACTCCAAACAATATTATTAAGAAATAAGATTGTACCTATTTACTATGAGAATTTTTTTTTAACAGGATTCAACTACTAACAACTAACATATGTTGAGAACATTTGAAACCTGTAGCAATACAAATGAAATCTCCTCACTTCAAAAAACAATAGCTATTTGTCGCGAAACATTAGCAAATTATGAACCTAGTAATCTGTGTCCATCTGTATGTGTTTGTGTCTGTGTCATGTTTGTCAACCAAACTAGACTACAGAGGGCTTAAATTGTAGTATGTTTTTGAAACCCGTAAACAAAATTGAATCAGATGTTTCATATTTGACTCAGTAGTCCATATAATGAAATGTTACAACCCAAAGTCAAGACATCAGTCTAGTTATGGAACACGCAGGCAATGAACTCATATTGTGGCTTGTTTACTGTAGGAGAAATACAATAAAATGGAAGACCAGAATTAAAAATAGGGTAGTTATATGGTAAGGCAGTTATACATTTATGCAGCAATTAAGCAGGCCAGAATTTATAATGGGGCAGTTATGCACTTATGCAGTAATTATTAAATTGTGTAATAGGGCAGTTATGTAACAGTTATCTGATTGTATGTGGTGTAGTTTATAGGAATTGGTGTGCACAGTTTGTTGTACAGTGTGTTTTTTATGGTTTATTGAAACAGGACTCTAGGACTCTAGTTGCACAGAACTGCATGATTCATGTGCAGAATGCAATTCAAATTATTCATGGTGCGTTTTGAGAACCAAAATGATTCATTCACTGAGTTGCATTGCCAGTAGTGTGAATTGGATTGTGTACCGTACGATATTGATAACAATGGTAAAAGCAAGCTGTTTTAAATCCCAGATAAAGATGTGTAGCCACTGTTGTGAAATTATATATACATATATATATATATATATAGAAAGAGAGAGAGGAGGAATTCACTTATTTCAAGACTTACTCCACACAATAACTCATGTTCTATATTAAATTTCAACTATTTAATCGTTAAACAATAACTAAAAGTTCTTAATACATAGATGTACAAATTTTTTTAAAAAATTGAAAAATCATACTTCGTTAAATAGATTCAAATTTAACATATAAAATAATTTTATGATTATCCGTTAACTTGAATTATTGAAATGGAGTATCAAATAGTTTTTTCAAATTTGTATACTGTATGCATTAAAAATTTTAACAGTTCGATCATTGAAATTTGATGTAGAACATGAGTTATTCAGTAAGATATGTCTACTAAGATTTACTAGTAAGTAAGTGAATCTCTCCTCATATATAATAAAAACTACTAAAAATTCATGGCATTCATAATTAACAACAAAAGGTCATAGATGTATTAAACAAACATACAAGTAAACACCAAAGATAAAAGTCAAATATAAGTTTCCAAGACAAAAAGCATCAATCATTACCTTCTAAATCCAAATCTTCTTTATCACTTCCACTACTATTACAGCCATAGCCATAGATTTCATCCTCCTTCCCCCCCCCCAAGAAAAAAAAAAGGCCCTAACTTCTCTGATTTGAGGGATTTTATTGAAATCAACATGTAGGGCTGCTATCCTGTCTATTATAGCCACTGTTCAGCCCGTTATTTGGTCCGCTATGACCACTACATTAGAACGCTCTGCTATGGAAGCCCCTGCATCAGCTAGGGGCCACTCTGCAGGTATAGCAACACTATACTGTGCTATTTAAAACCCTGTGCAAAAAATGGATTTTTGAAGTGTAAATCATGGTAGCACTACTATAGCAAGTAAAAAGGTGCTATTTTGGCCACAATGGCTCTTATTGAAAACCACTCCGCTATCTGAAATCAATAGCGGCCTAGGGTGGTATGGCCGCTCTGCTATAGCACCACTACAGTGCGCTATTGACTACTCTGCTCCCTATCCCCAAGGAAAAGCATTTTCACACTCTTAGTTAACTCTATTTAAAATTTTAAACAAAGACCAAAGTAAATGAAAGGCTACTAGACAATCATACTAAAATCAAGCTAAACTGGTGGAAACAGGAATCTCATTTCAGGCCCTCACAATTGCATATCATTGCCCACAGCAAAAATATTTTTCCAGACAAAAATTAAATTTTCTCTCTCTAACAAAGTCTAATAGAACAACGGTAAATTTGAAGCAGGATGTATATATTCACGTGTTAAAGAATAAATCTATCGCTCCTTCATTTTCTTCTCAAAATTAACTGGACAGATAATGAAACGGGTGTTACATAAACAAGATCACAGTAGCAAGTTAGAAGACAACAGCAATGAATTAAAATTAATAAAATGAAACTAATTCTGACACTATGGCTCCAATGTGTTTCCAAAAGGAAGTGAAGTAAAGAAAAGCAAAAGCAATTTTGTGACTTTGATATAATTGATAATATACAACAAGAATCGTAAATACAATGATACATCGACAGCAAGCTAGTGGAGGAAAAATAACAACTGCAACCTGAATTTACTGAACCAGCTTACCAGCATTGGATGTGTTATTCGGCTTCTCTACTGATGCTGGGACAGCAGTTGGTGTGGAATCATCAGAAGACATAGAGGTATCATTTGATGCTGTACTTACAGCACTAGTCTGATTGATCAAAGGCACAGAAGTGGGTTCCTCCATTCTAATATTATCCGTCTTGGTGGAAGAATTGGTACCTGCCAATGGCACAGTTGCACTTGAATTCAAATCAGGTCTTGAATTTTCTTGAGTAGACAAGCTACTATTGGCTACATCTCCACTGCCACCTAACGAAGACGCTGGTTCTCCTGAATTTGAAGCTTCAGGATCGCTATTCACTTCCTTGGTCAATGGCAGGTTTGCCGAAATAGACTCACTTGAGTCTACTTGTGAGTTTGATTTAGCATCAGTTTGTTCTACCTTATTATCACTAGACACCTCCGTGGCAAGTGTGGAAGGTTGCTGATTAGAGGGAGATTTATTATCAACAAGATCTAAACTCTTATTCAAGTGGCTATCAACAGAAGCTTCATTTGCTGGAGACACAGGCAAATCTAACTTCTCAGAACTACCTACACTATAAAAATACCCCTGAACCGTGGCACCAACTGGTGATGATACAAGAACCCAAGAAGCATAAATTAAGAAAACTGCCAGTGCTCCTACCAAAACTACAATCCAAGAAAGAGGCCTTGGATGAGAAGACAATCTAGGAGAACCTTTGAGGGAAGTCCAAGCCATGTCATTCATTCAATACAATCAAGCCCTACACTAAACCCTGAAGCGTCAAATCCTTCAAAACTAGACAAAATACATAAGCTTCCACAGAGATTCAAGCAACTAGTGCCTAAGATGAGATTAATCCCCTAGAGCAACCCTGTTATCATGACCACAAAAAAACAAATAATCAATATGATACAAAGAATAGTGACAGAAAATGTGAAAAAAATAAATATCTAGAACTTAATTTAAAAGAAGAAAAAAAATTAAGTAAATGGACATACCCACAAAAGAAAATTAAGATAAAAACAGATTTGGATCCCCAAATGAACGAAAAGCAGAAACCTTTGTGAGGAGATTTTGTGGGTATACAGTGGAGAGGATAGTGAAAATGTTGGATCACCGAAAAGACGCGGAATTGGGGTGGAATGGCAACAAGTTTTGCCTTGGTTTCGGATGCTTGTCTCAATGCGCAAGGAATGAAACGTTGTTCGAGAGAGAGAGAGAGAGCCTCAGATGTGTTTGTTTATCAATTATCAACAAGAGCCTCACCTAAAATTCATGGCTACTTCTAGGTTACATGCATGTGATTTTTTTTACTTTTTTTTATAGATGTTTCTCTAAAAAGGAAAATAAAAATAGGAAAAGTTTTGATAATGGACACAAGACACACTTCAATTTCAAAGGTTAAGGATCCACCGACTCCAATGTCCTATAAACTATAAAGAGTTAAATCAGTTAATTAGGTATTAGAATATAAATTGATTTTGGTTTTGGTTTTTTTTTTTTTTTGGGTAAGTTATCAATGAATGAACTGATTATTTATCTTATATCTTATATATATGTGGAAATATATGGAAACTAGTAATTAACTAAATTCTTATTGAATATTCCTGCAGTAATTTATAAATGATCTTTTAGATGAATAATTTAATTACCCGTCAATTAATGCATTTGTTGAATTAATCTATTTTTAATTGCCTTCAATTATAATTTAGAAAAAAATATAAAATAAATGTTATATACAAAATAGATTAATGATGAGATGGTTAAATTAAATTGTTTTTTTTCTTCTGAATCTTGATTTTTTTTAACATTCTCAAAAAGTTTTAAAAAAACTAATAATTATATCTTTGGTCCTACAATTTTATTAATTTTACCTTTCAATTTCTATTATTATAAATATTTAATTTTAAATTTTATGCATACAATTTTTTTGTTTTTATGATTTCGTAAATTTTATTTATTGTTCTATAATCATCAGATCACGGAATTAAAATAGAAACAAATTTAAGTATTTTTTTATTAATATTTAAATATATTTTTAATTCCTCAAATTTGATATATATATAGAGAGATATCTTTCAAATTTAAATTTAGTGTTTTTAACCCTATAATTTAAAAATAATATATTATTTTAATTTCTCAATTTGTCATTATCTTATAATATTAGTAACTAAGATAATATTTTTAAATATTATAAAGATTTAAAAAGATAAATTTAAAATTTTAAGAATCAAAATAATAATTTAAATTAAAATGATTAACTTTATATTTTGAGGACTAAAAATTCAAATTTAAAATTTGAAAGAACAAAAATCATATATAACTCAAATTTAGAAGTCTAAAAGCATAGAAAAAATAAAAATAATATTTAGAAAAACTAAAATAGAATTTTTAATTATAAAAAATACACAAAAAAGGTAATTAAGAAAAATCTAAACAATGTGGTAAATGTGATGATTCGATATGTTTTAAATGAAAAAGAATATTTGTTATTATTTATCTTGATATTTATTTGAAAGGATTAAAAAATTAAAAATAAAATAAAATTTTAAAAAAATAGATAAAATTATACTTTTAATTTTTTATCTTATTTTTAGATTTATTTTGATCTTTTTATTATATAAAATATTCATTTTAGTCATTTATTTTTTATATTTGAATCAATTTATTTTTTTTTAATATTTATTTTTAATTTTATGATACAATTTTATGATATATTTATTTAAAATAAATTTTTTATCTTATCTCCTTATTAATGGCGTCAAAAAAAAACTTATCTCCTTCTTAAAATGTCAAGTTGGACCAACACTTAAAAAAAAATTAAAAAAAATTAAAAAATAATAATAATAAAAAACTCTAAAATGATAAGCAACCTATGAACAGTGGATTAAACCGGATGGTCCACAAATTCGCAAACCATACCCGTTTAACTTGTGGACTAAACGAGGTAACCTGCGTTGGACTATATTTAATGGACAACTCATAATTGGGCTCAAGCCTTCGCGGGCTACTGGCTAAACAGGCCAGTCCGCGGATTGCAGCCCATATCTCCTACTCTAATCACCAGCAAACGGCCCACATGTATAGACTTTTTTTTTTCCGTCACTCAAGCCTTAGCAATGAGAGACACTCAAACGGCCCAACTATTTTAAATTTAAAATTAAAAAAAAATGCATCTTGAATTTGAAATGGCAAACTATTTAGCAATGGTTGTGTTCCGGTTCATGCACGTGCTTGTGACTTGTGAGATTCAATAATTTGGTCTACCACGTGCCTACCATGATGATGACACACGTGCACATTATAGTTGATGACTGAGGGGCAAATGAGGAAAGGAAAAAAGAAAAAAGAAAATAGGCATGATGTAGGTCATTTGTCAATTGCCATGTTTCCTCATTCTTCACTCTTTGCTTTGCTTATTCACCGTTTGGGGACCATTCTTTAAAGGAATGTCCACCCAAAGTGGAACATAACTCCTTCATTTCTGATGAATGTGAGGACATAATTAATTCATAACCTCTGTTTCCCTGCCTCCTCCATTCCCATTTTAACCTTAATTTCCAAAAGCACTCCTAGTGGGTTCTTTGTAAGACACACATAGGTCTCCATCAAATATGGGATAGAGAGAGAAAAGATAGAGCAAAATGAGTGTTTTGTTTGACATTAAAAGGGAGCCTTTCATTTCTTCAATATCTCTTTTAAATGCTTTTATCATCATTCATTTGGCTACTGGGTCCTCTCTAAAACCATCCTCACCACTGGACTCCATTTTCATTTTAATTTAATTAATCCTACGTTTTAATTTCATAAACAAATCAACTTGATACCTCTTCTTTCTTCCAATTCTTTTTCTTTTGCCTCCTTTCAATTTAGTGGTTTTTCCTTTTCGGTTATCATCATTTTTTCATTAATTAATTTCACAGAAAAAGCATTAGTGTTATATTGCAAAGTTGCGTATTTCTGATAAATAAAAGTTGGAATGGACAAACAGGTCATATCCAAAATGGAATAGTCTTTTCTTTATGATATTCCTTACTTACTATTCTATATCAAGAGCTCATTAAAACATATATTTGATTTACAATTTTTCCACTTTAAGAGTCACAGAACAATGTTGCACATTTTTTTAACGGACATCCATACGCACGTTTGAGTGTTATTATTTGAAAATTTGTTTTTGTATAAAAAAAATATACAATTTTTCTTATTAGAAAAAAATAATAATAAAACAAGTAATGTAATAAAGAAAAAAAATATTATAAAACAGTATTGCATAAATAATATGGAATTTTGTGTCTATACACTATCACACGAAAACTTTTTAAATGTAAATTAATAATGTTGTAAGAATTTTTATACTTATGTATGGCAAGTTATTATGTGTGTTAAGTTTGTTTATTTTTATAATAATTACTTTACAAAATGATAAATTTTAATTAATTGATCATTGATTTTAAAAATAAAAATAAACCCATTGACGTAAAAAAAAAAGTAACTCAATAGTATTTGTGTTTTATTTTTATTTTCATTAAAGTGTAACAATGTGACAAGTTACTAAATTTTACAATCCAACATGTAAGCAACGAAAATAATTAATTAATTAAATACATTATAGTTACCATGATGCAATACCTAGACATTCATGTTACAAATATATA